AATTTTCCAAGTCGACAAAAATCAGGGATCAAAGCGATTTGTGCAATATTTTCAGCATTTTGAGCCTCAACTGTCTTCCATAGACTGTGAGAGGTTCAAGTATCTGCTTGTTCTAGATTGGAAGTTGGGATTTTTTGAAGCAAAGAGTGATTTTGGGCGAAGACGCCCGTTTTATGCCAACTTTTCCCAGGAAAAAATCATGAATTAAGGCAATTTGAGCAATATTTTCTTCAGTATGTTGTGCTTCAACTGATGTCTCTGGACTGTGAAAGTTTCAAGTGACTGCTTGTTCTATATTGGAAGCGGGGATTTTTTGAAGCAAAGAGTGCTTTTGGGCGAAGACGCCCATTTTTATGCCCACTTTTCCAATTTGGGGATTAAGACGATTTGGGCGAAATTTTCAGTATTGTGAACTTCGACTATCCTCGATGGACTGTAAAAGTTTCTAGTGTTTTCTCGAATTGGATTGAAAGTTGAGAGTTTTTGAGGCAAAGAGTGCGTTTGGCAAATTCGCCCATTTTCAAACCAAATTTTTCAAGCCGGCAAAAGTCGGAGATTAAGGCGATTTGGGCAATATTATTCAGTAATTTGAGCTTCAACTGTTTAATAGGAAAATTTACAAATATCCAATTTTTATTGTAACATTCTGCACAATTGTATGTATAATTTTTCCATAAATGTCTGAGTTTTGAAATTGTCGTTTGTCTCTACCATTAGTATGGTTAAAGCATTAAGCACTAGCATTAAGTTAAAAGACGTTTTCCCCATAAGATACTATTGAACATTTTCTCGTTTATTATCTAACAATTAAACAGTTATTAATTATTTAATTAACTTGAAGGACTAGGACAATAATTGAAGATCCAACTTCAGTGGAGTCCGTACTATTACTAGAGCCAAATCTTCCAATAAAAAGTAATAGATTTTTCTCGAAATCTGTTCTTGAAACATTTATGTTTCTGTATTTTTTTGAGCAAATACATAATACATAAAACGGCAAAATGTTAAAGCTGTTAACTTTACAACCCAGGTGCCAAAGTTCTTATACCTATATCTTGTCTCAAAGAGCTTGGCTAACTAACCTGTGGTTTTACTGGTGGTTTTAATAATGAACTTTTGGTTCTTTGAATCGATTATCATATTTTTCTTAATTGTAGCTGATTCTAAATGTGCAAACCATATCAAACTTTTCACAATTTACCAGTAGATTTGCCAATTTTTCATAAGTTAACATGTGTGAAGTTTATCAACCTTGGCAGTGCAGCTTCCTCAAGAGTATCGGTTCCGTCAAGAACCAGGATACCGTGAAAGCATGAACGATGTAAAAAGCAAGATTTGACCGGGCATTGTGTTGTTTGCAACTAACTAAATCTATTGAGTTGGAATTTAGTACGCCGCAGGTTGTTGTCCCTGAAATAGAAGACATTTTTCGTTGTTTTTAAGTGGAAAATTGGAAATTCAAAGCGATTTTGTGTAGTTCTGGTCGAATGGCTCTCAACTGATCCAAACAATTAGTTATTCAAGTTCATTGCAATAAAAAAAATGTCCAAAGTGATCTAACACAAATGAATCAATTAGTTTTTTATTAGTTTTTATAGCTAATGAAACTGATAAGTAGCAGTAAGAGGGGGTAATCCTTGTCTCAAATAAATATGTTTTAACGCTTAATATTGCCGGCAATCAGGGCTCAATTGAAGAACTCACTTAATAGATTTTCGTTCATCAAATGTCGCACAATTACGATAAATTGTCCAAAGCGGCAAAAAAGTATTGAGCATTTTATTCTCTGGCATTAAACAGCAGGTTTACCTGCAGTGCCAGTTATTTTATAAAATTATTTGGCAGATGTGGTGCATGCTAATTTAATACTTCAAGATGCAGATGTTTAGACGCAGGGTTGCACAAAGAAGGTAATCATTGCAAATCCCGTAGTACAAATCGCATCGTTAAAAACATATTTTAAAATTTGCTTCTGATTCTTCCATTAAATTGCACTTGAATCGTGTCTTGATTGCCAATCGTAATATACGTTTTTGTATGAATGTTGAAAACTTCTTATGCAACTAGACTTTAAATTAAAAAGAGCAGCAGTGTAAACTTCGCACCTGTATCAGCTTCAAAACCTTATACAACAGGCAGTCATTTTTTTATTAACGTTTATCACGTAGAATACTTTTTAGCCTAATAGGGGTTCTGCTAATAAAAAATCGATATTATTAACTTGTCCGATTTAAAAATAATATTTCCGTCTGAGATCTGGAAGTAAACAGGTTAATTAGAGTATTTTAGAAAATTACAGCATCTGTTAACTATAAAAATGTGGGTACTGCTCATCATTAAATTTTGGATTCGAGTTTTGTTGCAAATTACGTCAATCGAATTTGTCTCGTTTTTTTAACAAGAAATCATCGACGTTTTCTTGTTTACATTCTCGGGTTCTTTTGCCTTTGATGGGCACGCAAAAAAATTAATTAAAATGCGCACTTTGGTCGGACGGTTATTAAAAATAGTTCATTTATACTTGTGGAGTGAATACACGATAATTGGTTGAAATATTGTTTTTGAAACGGACACGTGTGTTTCAGTAAAATTATTAAAAATGACGCTGATATTAAATAGGTAATTATTATAAGTCGAATACAGTTGTGGTTCAATACAAGCTTAGAGAGAAGCGCAATAGTTGCCATTTGCATGGCATAATTTTATTGCATTATGAATGAATTGTATGTACTTTCCTGACTGTGTTTCAATTCCAAATCAAAATTAATTCCTGGGTTTCAGTCATTTATTGTCTCTATTTATCAATTAAAAAACGTTTCGGTGTATTTTTCCACCATCATCAGTTTTTCTAATATAACAGATAGTTAAAAAAAATTTCATTAATTTAACAAACAATCACAGTTCGTCAACAGCCTCATCCTATCACACACTAAAATAGATCACAATTGCAACACTTTAAAACATTCTAAAATTAATTAGGTCTAACAGGTGATTAGTCAGGACAATCAAATTTGGGAAGAGACTAGAATTCTTTGTTCAGATACTATAATATTTTTACTTAC